TTTTGTACTTGTGGTGAGCCACTGTATGGGCTGCATAGATAGTAGCGATGTAAAACGTATCTTATCTAGGTAAAAATACCTTCAAAATAAGATATAATTCGACCCATCTTTCCATTTAAAAAATAACTGGTGGGTAAAAAGGCCAAAAAAATGTTGCCCCCTAAAATCAAAAATTAAATGGTCCAAGCGTTTTTTAGTAGATGACCTGGTTTCTCGCCAGCAATACTAGAGAGCTGTTTCTGACTCTAAATGAACGTTCTTTTCTAACGGTGCTTGATCGGGAGCAACTTTCCAATGTTCTCTATTTCCCCTCAAGCATTTGCTCAATAGCATATGTACAAAAATCTTGTCTTGATAATTGTAGACCGTTATTAGTCTTTCTTTTTTGACGTCATATGGTTTTATACACCAAGTTCAACGCGTTGTCTATGACTTTTTTATCACAAAAAATACAACTCCGAACGATAATATTTTATCGAGACATCTTGTCGCTATACCAACTTGGGCCACGACAGCTTCTTCACTTCACTTATTGGCACTTTTTGTCCTCGTTGTGCTATGGGTGCTCCGCACCCAGTTTAAAACTGCTTGCGCACCCAGAGCCCCCGGGGATTCGGCGCCTATGCATTTTAAAATGTCTATCAGCTAGCAACCGTATATTGTGTAGATTATGAATATGTTGATCCAGAAATAGAAATTTGTAGCTTAATATTGTTTTAGGGGGAAATTTTACAATACAGGCTTTTCCTGGTTTTTGTACTTACTTTTCTTAAAATAGAAGTTTTGAAATTATTTAATGGTGTGGTTCTCTCTGTACAACACCTTGTATAACAAATGTGTGCAATATACAACACCTTGTATAACAAATGTGTGCAATATTTTTTCACCAAAATACCATATTCAGTAACACTTTTTGAAAATATTGACTCAACTTTCGTTTAGCTGAAAGCAGTTATGCAGAAACTGTTGCCATCGGCACGCTTATCATCACATCATGGTACCTAACGACTAAACAGAAACCTAAATCTTGTGGTAAAGAAGTGCGTAGTTGCCAAGTTATAGATGATTTAATTTTCGCTTTAGTTTAGCTGAAATCAGATAGGAAGAAACTGTTCCCATGGGAACGTTTGTCATGATAACGACTAAACAAAAACCCAAATCCAGGAGTGCGTTTAGAAACCACGCACGGCGCGTCTGGACCCTATTCTAATGTATGTGGTGAGACGCGCCGTGCGGGGTTTCTAAACGCACTCCTGTGGTTATGAAATGCATAGTTGTCAAATTATAGATGATTTAATTTAGTTATGGAGAAACTGCTGCCATGGGAACGCTTGTCATGGTACCCCGCGCCGATTTCGAAACGTCGATCGCTCGCGTCATGTTTGTAAACATATTAGGTTACTGATGTTTAATTTTTGTTTTTCTTTTTATTTAATAGGCTCCCGATCGATCTTGTTAAATATTTGAGTTTTTATATTTATTTTAGAATGATGAATTCATGTTTGGTAAAAGAAAATATAATAGAAGACGCATTATGGAAGATCACTGAGTTTTGGGATTAATTGCCCGAAGCTCAGATGACTTAGGATTGATTGTATGTACTGATAATAAAAGAGACGTCGAGATCCTGCTAGAACAGAAGTAAAAGTTGGAAATGCTTTTGCCAGTTCTCCCACTTTATACACATAAATTGACAGGTTGTCAGCGGATCTCACCAAAGTGGACGCGATACATTGGCGTACAAAATTATTTTATAGATGTTAATAACAATTTCGAGTAAATAGTTTAATAAATTGTGAATAGCTGTTGAAATTTTGTAAAATTATAATTAGAATATTATAATACATGTTTAATAATTATTTATAATCCATAAATACATGCGATTGTCCGGTTCCGCCGATAATAATTTAAAATTACTTATTCTATGAAACGACACTGGCAGGTAAACATTACTGTGAAATTCTCGGAGTCGCCCGACGTGGTTTGACGTTTACCCCCTCTCTACCTACCAAAAGACTTTTCAACTTTTACTTTCTCTATACACCTTAACCATTTACCGTAATTTTCCGAATTCATTTCGGAATGATAATCTCCAGACTTGGTCCCTGATTTAAAAATTAACAAACTATTTTTGATAAAACCCATTTCTCCCCCACCGTGAACTATAATAAGCCTTTGGCCTTTAGAAATAACAGAAAACAAACCTTTTGTTGAATCGTCTGTCCAATTCTTGGAAGAAGTATGTCCGCTGTGTATATATGTTTCATCTAAATAAACGATTGGTCTATTTTGACTTCTAAAATATTTTATATGTCTCAAATATTTTACTGTTCTTATTTTCATTTTTTCCACCAAAACTTTACGATTATTTTGTGTTTTTCTCCACTTAAATTGTAATTGTTTAAGGACTCTTCTTAATGAAGTTTCTGATATGTGGATATCTAAATCTTGCTTAATTTTATTATTTAACCTTTTAACAGTAACAGTTATATGAAAATCGTAAATTATTCTTCGAATGTCCATCAATTGATATTCAGGTAGATTCGTAGCGGTTGATTTTTTGACGAAGTTTTTCCTAGGTGTGGAAAATGTAATTTTTCCAGTTTTTTCCATTGACTGTTTACTTTCCTTCAAAATTCTTATAACGGTAGTATAAGAAACACCTGTAAAAACGTAATATTACATTAATGTTAAATTTAGAATTTTTTTACATTTATTAGGAAACAAAAATTTTTAGAAACAGAAGATAAATTTTAAAAATTTAAATATAAAATATTAATCAAAAATAAAATGCATAGATATGTATGTAAAATATAAAAAAATATGGAAAACTACGCAAGTTTAATTGCAAATAAACTACAGAGTATGTTTACCTGTTGCTTGTGCAGTTTGAAGTTTGATATCATCTAAAGTAACTCCTTCCTTTTTTGTTGCGTCAAAATATTTAAAAACATTGTATATTACTCCACGACTTTGTCCGTTAATAACAGATCTGTGCTTTTTTCACCCACAATAGAAGACATTATCAAAAATAAAACCAGTCACTTTAACCAAAACACAGAAACAAGAAACAAACAATGATCTAGTCGTTACGCTACTAAGGACAAGGTTCAAATTGTGAATGGGCGTGGCGATTTTTAAGTAAACGAATTTGAACATTTGCGCTGGTTCTTCAGATATGGCACTTACTGTACTATACTATGAGCAATAAGCCACCTACCGGCTTGTTTGAGAAATGCCTTCTACCCATTAATTTCAGCTAAAGTTGAGTTAAATCATCTATAAGTTGGCAACCACGTATTTCTTCTCCACAGGATTTAGGTTTTTGTTTAGTCGTTACCATGACAAGTGTTCCTATGGCACAGTTTTTCCGCTGACCTAAAGTTAAATTTAATCACCTATAACTTGGCAACTATGCATTTCCTCACCACGGTTGCGGTTGCCATGACAACAACTTCTACGTAAATGATTTCAGCTAAACGAAAGTTGACCCAAAATATGTTTCCGTGACGTCACAGTAAAATTAGTGAGATTTTGCAAAAAAACTACCGTCGTACATTTGTGAATCACCCTCTAATTAAAAATATTTTTGATTGTACGTATTTACTAACGTATTACTAAAACATGTAGTAAACGTGTGTATCCAATAGAAATTCATTCTATCCCGTAAGTATGAAAATGAAAATTCTGAAAAACTGGGCAATTTTCATATATCGAAAACTAGTAATAAGATTGAGTTGGTTACTAGGTTGAGTACATACAACAACATACCAAAGTTTCAGAAAATTTAACTGGTCGCCATTTTACATAAGAAGTGCGGGGTCCTTTAAGGGTATAGTCCAGTCCGATATTATTAACCGACTACTAACCGCAAGTAACCAGAATTTTGTGATAGGGGTTAATGAAAAAAACTAATTTATTGGTTACATTTGGACCACGGCCAAGATTTGCGTCACTTTTGTGACAGATTGACATTCGACTTAATAGTAAACGTAAAAATATAGCGGTTAGTGAATAGACGCCTGAGTCACCATTTTCAGGTAACTGCGTCCCTAATTAAGGTGATTACAGCACCCCCTTATAATTTTCGGACAAGGATATCTCAAAAAGTAATTTTTTTTTAAATTTAAATTTTGGAAAAATAAATAAGGCAATAATATCTAGAATATGCATATTTTTTAAAGTTTTAATTCCATCCAGTTTCCAAGAAAAAAAATCAAAGGGCTTTAAATTTTGAATTATCATGATGAAAATAAATGCATTCCTCAATAGCACTATTCTTAATACAATCCATGAATTTAAGCTCTTAATGTCTTGTTAATGATTTTTTAAAATTCGCCGAAATTAGTGGCTAAAACGCCTCGTTAAGTGCTATTTTCTGGTGTAAACTGGTGTAAATCGTTTTAGGAAAGTAATGATGACTGACAGTGTACGATACAATAGTTACAGTCGCGTTACAATAGAAGGCAGCACTTAACGAGGCGTTTTGGCAAATTTTAAAAAATCATTAACAAGACATTAAGAGCTCAAATTTTGGGATTATGTTAAGAATACTGCTGTTGAGGAATGCATTTATTTTCATTATATTTCAAAATTTAAAGCCCTTTGATTTTTTTTCTCGGAAACTGGAAAAAATTAAAACTTTAAAAAATATGCATATTTCAGATATTATTGCCATATTTATTTTGCCAAAATTTAAATTTTTTAAAACAATTACTTTTTGAGATATCCTTGTCCGAAAATTATAAGGGGGTATTCACCTTAAATCGATTTTTCAGAAATGTCAAGCAAAGCGGTTAGTTTTGAACCTAGTAACCGATATTTCCTTGATATTTCGGCAAATAACCTAAATTAGTCATCAACTTCTTTCGTTGACCTGTCAATCTTTTCAAGTTTTTGTGATATATTTTTAAAAAGAGACAAAACATATTAACATATTTTGTTAAGTAAGTAATATATATTCATAAAAATTACATTTAAATGTTCATTTCAACTTTCAGGGAACTTCTGAATTAAGAACGGAATTGGAACGTTTGCAAACGTGTAATTCGACTTTGCAAAAATGCAATTTGCGACTGGAAGCGGAAAACTTGGACTTGAAATTGGATTTGGAAAAATCTAATAAAGAAGTGCCCCATCTTCAGCAACAGATACACCATTTGGAAAAGTGAGTATTGAGAAATTGCGTTTTTTAAATATTTATTTTCGACAACAGTAAATGTTCTGCACTTATACAGCATCTAGTAGATAATCACCAAGTATACAGCCACTTAAATCTTTTTATACCCAAGACGATGGCATCAGAAATTTTTGTTTACCACTTAGAATTTACCGCCACACCAAAATTAACCCCCAAGATAAAAAATAAATTTTTCAGAAGTTCGTTAACGTTTTTTTCGTCCAATCGAAATTTTTAAGTACACATTTTTTAATTCGTTTGAATACACAAAAAATTTAAATTGTGTAAATATTTTTCAAAAAAAAAAAAACGAAGTAAACTTTTGGAACCCAACAATGACGAAAAACTACTAGACTAATCCATTAATTCATAATCCGCCATTTTAGTGATGATGTAATATGGTTTCACTGACAAAGTGACCCTAGATTTTTTGAGTGCGTTTTGTTTACTTAAATTATATTGTTTTTTCACTCGTATAAATATATTCCTAACATAAGTAGATAACATGCATCAAATATACGATTGTTTAGTTACCAATTAGGTACATACCTTTAAACTATTTCTTATGACCTGCAAACAAAATTTAGAAAAAAACTAACAGACAAAAACGTATATGTTTTTGTTAAAAATTTGGTTAGAATTAAATGTCAGTGGAACCAAAATGACATCACACTAAACTGGCGTATCAAGCCCTTTTTTAAAGCAATCATTCATATTATGTTTATTACAACGCAGACAGAGCTGTCGCATCGGCTGCATCATTAGAAAGAAAGAGATAGCTGCTAATTTGAGTAGGCTGGTTTGTGCGAGTATGTTTATCTAAGGAGCGAGCATGCATTTTATGAATGAATCAGCATTTAGGTCTACTAAGCTTGCTTTACACTGCTGTCCCACTTCAAAATTGTGTTCTTTTCTGAAAACACTATACAACTAAAATAAGACATATTAGTGTGACGCAAAAATGGTTTCACTGACAGTTAACTTCTAACCAAACTTTTAATAAAACCATTATTAAATTTGTCATATACGTTTTTACGTTTTTTAGTTTTTTCTTGATATTGTAACGTTTAATTTATTTATAGTTTATTTATTTAAAACACTTTATTTACAATTTATTTATAACGTACTAATTAATTTATATAATACTTACTTAAGCACTATTAAAACTCGCAACGCAACGACCCAGAACGCACCAATCCTGCTGGAAAAATCTCTAATCGTTCGCAAAGTGCTTGGCCCTATGCGTCAGCGGCATATCTAGAAGATTCCGGTTTCGACCATGAGTCGGGTGACAGACTTCAAGGTCGCGCTCTCGACAGAGTCGGCTCAAGCTTTCTCATGACAATATTATTTACATATCAAAAGGCAAACAAAACGAACAAAAATAAAAAGTCAATTGTCACTGTAATTGTCAGTGGAACCATAATTACATCATCACTAAATTAGCGTATAATTGCAACGAGAAAAATTAGATTAAACTGAAAATAACAGGAATTAAGAATGAAAATATATTTCTTCAATGTAATTTTGAAACCCTTTTTTGCGCTTTAAAGCAGACGCAAGAAGCGGTAAAAGGGTAATCATCCTCCGAGCTGGTCTAAGAAATACTGAAATTTATGAAATTGTTACTTTTACGAGAAAGCAAAAAAACAAGATGAAGCCAAAGTATAAAATTATTTCCCCCCCTCCCCGAGAAATATTCCCAGATCCGCGCCAGCTTTAGAGCCTTATGTTTAGTAAATACCGATACCGAATTACAACCATAAACAATTCTTGTAACAATACTTTCCTATACTCTCTCATAATAATTTGGCAACTACGTGGATGACAATGCAATTCGATTTTTGTAAACAAAATTAGTCTAGTAGTTCGTCGTTGGAGACCACTGCTTTTTTTTACCATATAGTAAATCAAGAACTGAAAAGTTTGTAAGGTTCCTTTGGACTTTTTTCCTTAATGCTTTTAAGTTTTATTCAGTTAAACAATATTTCAAATCTGAAACAAATTGAAGGTAATTTATAGTTACAAAAAAATGAAAAACTCTGTAAAAGAGCCTAAAACTGAGTATCTGAACACTAAATTATCAAAATTTCCCGAGGGACGATCCTTTCAACCCCACGGAAATTCAATTCTGGTTACGCCACTAAACAGACTGACGAACGACAGACAGATCGATTTGATTCCATATACATATAAGTGTCCCTGTTTGCTAAATTGGAGGCGGAACATTAAAAAGAGAAAAACATGTCTCTGTTAATCTCTGACGTAAATCTTCTAGGGATTGTCACGGTGTTTCTTCATAAACTTGGGAATTTAGATAAGCTTACAAAATAAACCAAAAGGTGTGAGATCCGGTGAACTTAGCCGCCATTCGACGTGTTCTCGACGTCCTATCTGATTAAACATCATTTGTTAAAAAATGGTATCCACATTGAATCATTTTGCATTTTTCTTTACTAACATTATTAGTGGGTTTATTAATGTCAGCAAGAGTTCCAAATAGAGAAAACTAAAATTTTCATAAAAAAAAATAGCGGATCTATGAGCTGTGTTGTGCTTGGAACCATTATTACGTTATGTATTTTGATTTTTGTAGCTTTTTCTTTATTCCGAGTAGTTTTCGGTGATTGTACTGTTTAATACATCTGTCAGTTTTCAATTTTCCAAGTAGTCTATTACTGTAACTTCCTCTATTATATCAATCCTCCATCTTGATATTTTCTTCACCATCTTTTCCATTAAGTTCACCTTTATCATTCTAGTATTTATTCCAAGCAAATGTTGCTTGTTGTTTTCTACCAACCAGAATTTTACTTATAAATTGTATTTATACGTTTAACTTTAACATTTTCAGTTATGTCGATGTATTAAAAAATGAAAATACAAAACAACAAAGTGACGCCAAAGATCCCCAACCTTTTAACTCCGAAGCGAAAAAAGTTTCAGAACTAGAAAGAACCGTGTTCATATTAAAAAGAGTCGTTGAAAAGTTACAATCTGAAAACAAGAGACTCGTCAGTGGAAAAAGACCCCTTTCAGACAGATCGGTAGGTAATTTTTGACCAGTAACATTATATGCATATGGGCTACTTTGATATTCTGTGGCATTTAATTTATTTCAGCCATCAGCTGAAAAACTGAAACGAGACTTTCTGCGTTTGAAAGAACAACATGCAGCGTGCACCCGAAAAATTGAACTCCTCGAAAGAGAATTAGAAGTTACGAAGAATACGTTAAAGAATGTTTCTATATCTAATAGTGACAACGATAGAATTGTTACTCTGTCTAGTGAACTAAACAGTGTTAAAGAACAGTTCCAGATTAAATGCGGCCTTTTAGACAAGGTTAAAGTACTTTTGCATAGAGCGGCTGCCAAGGAACAATCACTTATACAAGAAGTAAGTCCTTAAATTAATCAAACTATTATATTTTCGCATATTTTTTTTTTCATTGCTTTATTAATATGATCCTTTACACCTTTGTTGACGTATATGACATCACAATCATAAGTAAATAGAATAGTCAATTTAATTTGACCTAGATTCAACAACACTGTACGATAGCCGAACGAATAGGTACTGTTACAGAGTGATGAAAATATTTTCTGTTTTCCTTTTGATACAATGTAATGCATGTTGCTATATTAGACAAAGGAACAGTTGTTTTCGAGAGGGAAACGATCTCTCGACATTTCCGTGACACGGACATTGTGATTTTCTCTTTGAAATAAAGAGTAATCCACAAAATATGTTTCTAAAGTACGCCTTGAAAAAACTCACGTACGTCAAGAGTACAATTCTTCTTTTTAACTGTCAACTTTCATTTAATTTAGAGCCGCGCGCACTTATCACGAGTATGACTTGTAGCTCTGTCTTTGTAGGTCATGGCCTACTTTAGGAACATTTTTTGTGGATCAATTTTTAGGTATATATAAATCACAATAATGTTTATTTTTTTACAACAAAAGACCTAACAATATTTATTAAATTAAAAATAATAATAATTATATTCGTACATCTGGATACGTTTCAATTCATTCAATGTTCTTTTTCATCTTCTTTATACTACATTTATTTATCCGTATGGTCTTGAATACCTATTTTACGGATTCTAAAACACAATATGATAAATACTCGTACTGCTTAATGTTGTAAAATGTGTAAATTAATGAGTAAACAACTTTTAGTATAAGGGAGTACAAGTAGGTACCAGTTAGCACTTTTAGCAGTCACGTTTAGCTATTTGACTAATTTGTCTTATTTACACATTAGAAATGTGTTTGTTCGCCGTAAATTATTAACTAATAAAAATTCAAATAATTGCTTTTCTACACGTGGTTAAAATCGGTATGTCTCTGCTATATGCTAGGTTTGAAATGCACCTCCTCGAGCAGAGCGAGTAGCGAATAAAAAAGCAAAACGAGGTACTTTTCAAACTCAGCAATATAATCAGATGACGATACTGAGACGTAAGTTCCTTTGATAAGCTGTCAAAATAAAGCGTTATACACCTATACTGGGAGGACGTCTTCTAGTATAAATATAAAATAACATTTTTCATTATTTTACTTGTTTTATGTAAAGAGAAAGAAAGCAAATTGCTGTATAGTACGGCATAAATAGCTGAAGCCGCCAAGATCATATGAGCGGCCATATATTTACACATACACGCGTTTTTTTAAATATTTTGTAGAAGATGGATTTAAAGAACAAAAAAATTTATTTTACAAACAATTTGCGTTTCATATGACCACACTGTTAATATTGTTAATAAGTAGGTTACTCAGTCATACAATTTTATTAGAATGATGGATTCGATATTTTAAAATGTATAAATGAAAGGAAGATAAAAACGGCCCCTACTTTCCCCTAACTGCACCAGCTTTATAAAAATGGAATTTCTATCATTATAATTATTGAATTATTTTGTTTCTAGATTAACGAAATGAAACGTCAACGTGGTCTAGTTGTAAGTCCAATTCCAGAAGAATCGGAACAAAGCAGTTTACCAGACGCCACATAGTTTTTATACTTTTTATATTTCTATATCTTTTAAGATTAAACTTTTCAATTTTATTAAATATTTTTAATTTTATTTCCTTATTCACTGTATTGTACATTGTACACAACTATCGGCTCGATAATGCAACTCATCTAGCCTCAGAAATTAGATGGCTTTCTTTCAGTGCTCGAATAGGCCAGTAGTTCACATCATATAGAGCATAATAAAAATGAAGGACGCGTAGAAAGTACTGATTTAATTATACCTATAAAACATACAATATTTTAATCATTATTTAAAGTAGAAGTAAATTTAAAACTGTTCATGTACCTATATTATGTTTGGTTTCAAGAATCAAGGGCGATCCTGCAGGATTCTATATAGATTGGCCATTCGTGTGCCGATCCCTTGTATTAAAAACAAAACTTCAAAATCATTAAATTTATTATCTGAATAACTGACCAAAGATAACAAATTCATTAATATTATATAACAAACATACAGGTCATACGTCAAAAATGAGAAATGATTTAACTTGGAACGAAATATAGAAAGCCGATAGTAGTATTAACACGTTGAATTTTATGGTTTGTGAAGCATTGGCATTACTTAGGTTAAACCATGTGATGATTTTCACAAGCCTTGATTTTTAAAACCATTCTATATCGCCTTTTGATTAGGGTTTAAAAACTTGTTTGAGCAATTTATCCAATATTAATAGGCTCATTTACCTCTTAAGCCTGCTCATGTAAAATATTTGGGCTTCTTACTTCGCCTATTTATATTCTATTAATAAAGGACAGAAGGATGAGTATTGAAACTATGTTAAAAGAAATAAATTGGATTTCAGTTCAGAATTATGTTCAGTACATGACTGATATTTATTTATAAAATAAAAATGACAGTACCATCGCATCAGATCTATTAGAAAAAATTCAATATTATAATTCGCAATATCCCAACTATAATACAAGAAACCAATCTGATTTTCATTTACGGCAAGCCATCACTAAAAGTTACCAAAATACAATTTTTATTAAAGGTTTAAAAAATTTAATAGACTGCCTACAGAAATTAAAAAAAAAATAAATGTATTCAAAAGTAACCTCAACCAATACTTGATAAATAAACAGAACGGATATACTTTCTTGTGATAATACTCTTTAAACCTGCCCTTTTTAAGTATTTCCCTTAATTTATTGTTATTTTACCCCTCGTTTTATCCGCATTTATTATAGATTATTTGTTTTGAGATCATGTACTTTATTTTAAAAAAATTACTTGTTGTTTAAAAAATTACTTGATGTTATATTAATACCACTTACTATGTTTAAATTATTAATAGTTTTGTGAAGATAGGTTATAGCAACTTATAGCCACAAAACTATTTTTGTGTTAAAGTAGATCCATAGAGAGCAATGTAATTTACAAAGGCCTTCTTTCAACATACAAATAAATGAGAACTTTATAATTAAAATGAAAATCAACAAAATACCTTGGTATCATAAATGATCCAAATTTGAAATGGGCATTATATCCTATCTATCTTTTATATAATAAAAAAGTGCTTTGTATAAGAACATTATATTATCTGTCTTGCTGTACTTTTATTTATGGAAAGCCTGAATTGAGATATTTATTATTTGCAATAAATATCAAAAGAAATATACATTTTTAAATAATTTGACATTTAAGAGCCATTCAAATATCACAGTTGACATCTTGATACTTGACAAGCACAACCAAGCATTATTTTGATTTTTTCCAAATAAAATGGCCGGTTAATTATTCTATGGGGTTGCGACAGAGAAATTTGATGGTGTTTTTGTGGCTAGGGGCGAAATAGTAGTACGCTTAATAGCACCACCATAAAAAGTAATTTTTAAGAAACTGCTCATATATTTTTCATAAATTGGCAGACTTGGCGACTAATTTCGAATGAAAATAGCCTCCAAAATGGCTATATGGTTGCAAGTATGAAGGTCGCAACCCGCCTTAGAAATTTCACCTTTACTATCAACAGCTGTTGTTTGACAGGTCGTTAGAGAATGTTTGCAATTTATGGAATGTGAAGAATGTTAGGAATTTTGACGTTAGAAATAATTGAAATTCCTAAAATTGTTCACATAAGGAATGCATAGGCGGATTTTAAGAAAATTGTTATTTAAGTAGTTAGGATGAACCGAAATTTGTGATCATAAATAAAGGGCCCAATTAGTCGGTTTCCTAATAAAATAAAATAATTTTTTCTTGATATTAAAATTAAAATAATTTAAAGAATAAAAAGGAGACGATAAATATTTTGTAAAACAAGGTATAAAATACCTATCTTACTATACAATCCGCACCAAACATTAAAGCCAAATCGAACTTGCAATCTACGCTGTTCCCGCAACTGAGGGTTTTCGGTAGCCCAGTAATGGAGATTGTGCTTGTTAAATATTCCGCAATTTGTGACATAAGTTCATCCATCCACACAATGTTATTTTGAAAGTTCAAATTCTCTTGACATTTGCCCTGGTACCAATTGCAAAAAGTTACTCTTCTGTTAAAGTCCTTGTACAATGGTGGGTTTATACGGACGATAATGTTGTTTTTTTAAGACGTCATGAACTGTTGACTTAGCAATATCTAAATCTCTGCCAGTAATCCTTGTAGAGAACGTATAGTATGAGAGTCCACTGCAAATTTCGACCGTCATCTGATAACGAAATGAAATATGCTCCAAAGGCATGTAACAACATTGTACTTTACCAAATTGCACCTGTGCCAATCCCTATCCTGAGCAAAGTGGTTAAAAAAAATTATTTTATATTCAAAAAATCACATAAGACATGACAGCGACAATTGTGTTTTCCATGAAAATTACACTCCTAATTCATTGTGAACCTACCTTTTGAACCTGAATTATTAATATTTTTACCTACCTTTTAAACCATATTTATGTATGAACGGAAGAAGGAGGGCATTGTATAAACCATTTGCAGAGATAGTCAATAATAATTATAAACTCTTGTCAGACAATTATTTTAAACCATAATCATAGTAGTTTTTTCGTCGTTTCTATGGCAACCTGTAAAAATAAATCACAACAATAGGCATACAAATACATTTTTCTACACCCGTATTATAATAATGCACTTATATGCCCATAATCCGTTTCATAATGATACCCATTATGATACAGATTTTTTATTATGATACAGATTTTTAATCAATAGAAACCTACAATTTTTCAATCAAGCATGATGTTTGTCGTTTGTCCTAAATTCCTATGTAATTGTTTTAGTTGTCAAAACGTATTAAATTTTCGTAGATAGCTAAACTTCGATAATTATAATATTAAAATGTCTGATATCAGCGATATAGAAGACTCCTCCACACATATCGGAGAAAG